GCGACGTCGTCCTCATCTGGAAATTAAGAGCTCGAGATGGTAAATGCATTCTTCGTCATGGACCATAAAAATACAATTCATCTTTCTTCATACATGTCACATGTCACACTACATCATTGGCGGTAATTTTAGACCCGACCCGTCAACTTACAAGCACGAATATGATCAAGCAATTACCAAACAGTCATAAGGCTGTAACTGACCGTCAATCCAAAAAAAAAAAAAAAAGGCTATAACCAACCAAGTAACTAACCATGTTTTTGATTGGGCTATGGTTATGGGCTGCACTGCAGTATTTGTCTTGGGCCAATTGCTGTGGGCGGTGCCAGAGTCAAATCTAGACTGAGCCCGACAGAATTATTGTCGTATTCCTTCTCCTCCTTGGCCGTAATATTGGCTTCACCGGCGGTGGCATCACAGGAGGAAGTGTCCGCAGGCGGGCGATTCTCAAAGACATGAACCCCAAATAGCTTGAAAGAGCACTTTTCTACTTTCTCATCTGCAACACCAAATCGCTTGACTACACCATCTTCAAACATGCGATGTGATTTACAAGTAGCTTCGTCGGAGTTACCGGTGGGTAAATCACCGACGGTGGGACGGGACTGCTTAACAGATGGCTTATCTGCTCTCTTCACTTCAATCCTGTAGCCCAAATAGCCTGCTTCGTCTTCCTCTTTGTAAAGGGTCACAACGTCGCCCACTTTTAGTTTGTTTTTAAGAGCAAAGGCTCTCCACCCTTTGGAAAGTACAGGCTTTTTATAGCCTTCTTTGCGAGTTGTGCACATTATTGGCCACACGGTGGTCCCATGCCGGACATGCAACTCCACCCCGTGGTTGCCTTCGTTGGGTAACAAGAAGTTCACAATCTTGGTGGGGATCGCTAATCTCTTGCGGACATCAGTAAAAGTAAGCGATTTTGAGAAGAGCTGCATCGTTGCAGAGAAAACAAAGGAGGCAGAGAAGGGGTTTTTTGGATTTGAAATTGGAATTGGATGGCATGAGAAAAGCTTCAAATTGGCAGATATATGTCTGGGGATGAGGGTACTTTGTGGGCGCAGACATGGTCGATGTTGACGACTTAAAAGAGTTTATTTTTATTCTGCATACTCAATCCTCTTATGCACAGTACATCACACCCAAGTATGTTTTTCACGTGGTGGATAGTTATAACGGGGTATAGTCCATATTAGTAAATTACAGTAATAAATTTGGAATTTCCTTTTTTTTTTTTTTAACAAGATTACAATTTTGAAGTGAGGAAAATCGAACTCAACCTTCAAACTGAGGATGCACTTTACAAGTTAGTTTATGGCCGTTCAAACATGAAGCTCAGGTGCATAAATTTGGAATTTCTTAAGTGACTTATTAAAAGGCTTGTCAGAAAAGACTTAAGTAGTCTTGTGATTTTATAAATTTAATTTTGATGATGCTGGTTGTAGGAGCTTGTAAAATAATCCAAGGTAAAAAGCCTCAAAAATATATTTTCATGTCATTGGAAAAATAAACTTAAGTGAAACTTGTAAGATATTTGAATCTTAGATTTTAAGTCCTGTTAATTGTTAAATGTAAGTTTAATTTAATTTAACTCTTTCTTTTGTAATTTGTAATTTATTTAATGTTGTATCGTATTGTATTACACTATATTATAATTGTAAGTTTTTTTTTTTGTCTCTTAGAATTTAAAAATACATAGTGAGATATTTTATTTTGAACATAAGAGGGGGAATTTTTGTAAATGGTTGATGGGGGTTGAATTCTCGATTAACTTAATTCAAGTATTAAGGTTTGAGAACAATCATTAAATCTGAAACTTTGGTTTACATAAGGAAATTAATGTTAATTAAGATGAATAAAATATAAACTAATAGTTAAAATAATAAATTTAATTTGATGAGCAAATGTCTGCTTTGACCAATGGTTTCTGATTGACATAAATCAGGGAAGGGAGATTGAAGGTGGTTTGGTAAATTAAGTAGCAGGCTAGCGGCTATACTACTTCTATGTATTCGGCCGTCCACCAACATGAACAAAAGAAGAAAAATTCAAGAAAAGGGGCCATCTATAACAATTATTTTAGTTGTTTTAAAATAATGGTAATTTATGTGTTTATTTATATTATTTTTAAAAAAAATAAAAGTTTAATTTTTTGTTTTAAAATAATTAATTAAAATAAATAAATAAATAATAGTGTAGTTAAAGTA